TATATATATATATAGGGGTGAATGTTTGAGGCTTGCTTCACTTTGGTTTTGCTTCATTTTCTGTGCTAGGCAAACATTTGCAGATATTCCTAATTTTAATTTAGCGAATAGCGTACTGCTGATGCTTAATTTGATGTCATTGTTTGCAAGCTTAGTGTAAAAGCACCTGTAGATCCCTCAGCCATTGCAGGACCCCTCCTGTGTTTTCTGTTCTGGATATACTTGCATTTGCTTAACAGCAGTAAAATTAACTTTTTATTCACTCAGCCCATTCACAGTCTTTCATACCTGTCTTCTAAATCTCTGTGAAATTATGAAATGGTGGGTTTTGGTTTTGTTTATTGATGGGTTTCGTATCTGTACTTAGTGGGGTTAATTGTGTAGCAAAACATTTCTGTGGATTTTCTTGCTATGAAAAATCCACCTATATCTTAGCTGACAGCATACAAAAAGCTCTTTAAAATCTTTAAAATCACCTATTTCATACACTTTTTTTTTGCCATCATATTTGAACCTGATTTGCTTTGCAGTTTGTATGAATTCTACTAAATCTTTTATTAAATCTGTATTTTGACTCCCACAACCATTTGTGGCAGGATATGTAGCGTACATACTGCTAACGTATAGCATGCCAATATTTAACCTCCTAGACAGATACTGCAAAGATACTCTCCGTGCAGGTTTTGCTTATCAGTCTCGTAGTTGGCCCTGTACCTGTACAGGGTCGTGTGGCAAGATCGGGAAGTACCATCTTCGGTGCTTAGCATGTTTCTTTCAAAACAGTTTTTTCAAACAGCTTCGGAAGTGCATTAGGAATGGAGGCTATCACTATACCATAGTTCTCTTCGTTTTAAAACAATCTTTAAATAGTTAGATTGCGTTAAGTGAGGAAAATGTGGAAATAGGGATTTTAATTTTGATTTTAAGACTCTTCACTGTTCCAGGTTTTGTAAGCTGGTATAGTTACATTAATGGCTGCTTACCTGAAGAAAGGCTGCTATCTTTAAAAATATACAAATAACCCTGGTATGATTTCTGTGTTGATCAGTGTTTCAGCCATGTCTGACAAAAGTGAACTGAAGGCGGAGTTGGAGCGCAAGAAGCAACGATTGGCTCAAATCAGGGAGGAGAAAAAAAGGAAGGAGGAAGAAAGAAAGAAAAAAGAAGTAAGAAATAATTTTCTTCTTGACATTTGACTGTTTCCATGTGTAACTTATCTAAAATTTAAGGGTGGGTTTACTTAAAGTTACTTGCTACATGTTATTGAGGGAGAGTCTATTTAATGGTCTGTTGCTGGTGCAAAAGTAGCAGTTTCCTTTCCCGTGAAGAACAAATTCTCTTTTTTTTTCTTTAGAATTATTGATACAATAAGTTATATTAAAGAAAATCTTACGCTTGTGTTTGCAGAAATCCAAACTTTGTATTTGTGTGCATGGGACATCATTAATCAAATCACTGTAAGAAGCAACCAGAGCGTTTCATGAAAGTTCTGCTTAATAATTTGTTGTGGTATTATTTAGAGAACACGTTTCTGAAATGCAGTTCCTGAAATGCCCTTGTGAACTGTCTTAAGTGCTAGTGTTGTTACTGTACTAACAACATGCTATATTTTTCTGCTCTTTAGCCTGAATTTCAAAATCAGAGCAGCGCTCGAGACTTACGCTACTTATGCGTTAGATTCAGTTTGTTAACGGTCTTCTATTTTTTTTCCTTGCTAACGTACATCAGTGATGTATCACTACTTTTCTACTGAAAGCAGATTATATATCATAAATAAAACTTGCCTAATGTTTTGGTCTGTTGGGGCAATTTTTTCTTGACATTTCTATATTTTGATTATGATCTTATAGGAGTCCTGAATTAGCATATGACTGAAGACTGGGCAACTGCCAGCAACATGATACAGATAGAAGGGTGAAGGAAATAACTCGGAATATGTTCTGATGATCTTGTGAACGACATATTGTCTGTATTTGAGGTTCCACATGTGATACAATGGCTCATCAGTTGCGAATTTGCACTAAAGCTTTTTTCCTTTTTTAAAGGAATTGTACAATAGATTAGGAGCATAACATGCAGCCAGGTGAAGAGTAGTTGGTCTTTAATCATGACACTGTGATAGAATAGGTTGGTCTAGATTTTGCTGCTTCTTTTAAAAACTTGTATTTATATAATTAAATTACGTTTACAAAAATGTTCACTTGCCAGTGACTGAGTTGGGAATACCTTAAACTATTAATCGTTTTTCTGGAATTGATATTTTTTCATGGAAAAAATATGGAGAAGTGCTCAGCATCTTTCAAAGAGAATGGGATAGTGATTTTATTCTTTTATGTGAAATTTAGCAGAAGGTGAAACAACTTAAAAATATTTAAATGCATTGCAAACTTTTGGACGTTAAGTAGTTACTGTGAAATTTTTTAAGGTTTTGTATTTGTTTTTTGAACCTCGGAGGTTTCACAAAGAAAGCTTTTTCACTGAGCAGCCCTTTGTTTTTGTTTAAAAGCAAAAAATAGCTAAAATACATACAGAGGCGATCATCACCCTTATATATTTTTATTCTTAATTGCTACACAGTTTAGCATGCACTATATCCAGCCTAGCATGCTAATAATTTTACAGTGATTAGCATTACTGTAAGAAAAAGCAAGTATTCTTGATTTTTATGAAGTGTCAGTCGTTTTGACAAATGGAAAGACACTGTTGCACCTTATATAATGGCACATACATTGAAGACAGTACCAAGGCTTCCAAATTTTGTGATTCCTGGGTGTTGTTTACTTCATACAGAAAGGATCATCAGAATTACTAGAGTCAGTTATCTAACCTGTATGATGATAGGTTTCAGTAGCATAGAAAATCTAATGAGATCTCACAAATGGAATTAAACAGTTCTTAATATCACTTAAATGCCGTAACTTAATATTTAATTATTTTTAGACTGATCAGAAGAAAGAAGTTCTTCCTGTGCAAGAAGAATCTGATCTTGAAAAGAAGAGAAGAGAAGCTGAAGCATTACTTCAGAGCATGGGGTTAACACCTGACTCTCCTGTTGGTAAGAATATTAATATTAGTTTGAGATAAACATTTTGCCCTTCATATTTTGTTGTTAGGGTTGTGATATTTATATAACTACCTTGAAAATTCCATGGCTACTGTTATTTGGGTATGCTTGTCTGGTTTTGGTACTACTTTGTCCTGCATGGTTATCATTTATTGTAATGTCCAGTGATGTGTCTCAGTACTCATTACTAGTAATATTTTGCAAAAGAAGTGTTTTGTACTTGATAAATTTTTTAGCATCTTTCAGTTGAAATATATAAACATGATATTTTCATTCTTTTTTCCTATCTTTACTGCACATTGTTCTTCTATATTTCTTCTCTCCCTGTTTCATAATGTCAAATCTAAATTCTGATATTTTCATGCAGAGTTGGCTTGTTTTCTTTCTGTATATTTACTCCCTAATTCTCCTCGTCTCAAATACCTGACAGACTTTGATGAAGTAATAGCAAGGCTAAGTTTAAAACTAACTCTCTGGGAAGATAATTCATGTTTGTACCATTCTTGGTTGGGTGTATTGGTATAGTATATTGTTTTGTTGCTCTCTGCATTTACCTAGCCGCGTTTCTCTGGAAAATGAAGGCAAAGAGGGTGATACTTGAACTCCACTGCTTTTCTTACAGGTTTGAAATTCAGGAAGTGTTAAAACTTATTGTTCAGATTTGGTTTAATGATGATGAGAGTTTATTTCAACTGGGTTGGCAAACATAAATCGTTTGTGTAAGTCATGGTCTGTGTGTGTGACTACATCTTCTTAATCGCTTTTGGCCAATTCTGTAGCGTTTGAAAATGAGCATGGAATACCGTTAAAGACGTTCCCGTTACAGAAGTTGCAGCAGAAATTTTTTAGTAGCTTGGACTGTTTTTTCTGACAGATCTGGAGATTGTGTTTGGGCTGTGTTAGCACTAGAGAATATTATAAGTAGTCAATTCTTATCTATTGGAGACTTTATTTGGCAGACTTGTAGTTGAACACTTTCTTGTATGAAGTCTTACTAAGGCAGTTGACTTGAGACGCTTACAGAAATACATATATATTTTAATCTGTGTGAGCAAATCTGGAAACCACACGATAGCCAGTCCTCAAAGGAAATCATCACATGGACTTAGAGTAGGAGCTGTATGGTTAAACAAACAAACAAGCAAAACCAAACCAAACCAAAAAAAAAAACCGCTCTGAATTGCTGGCAAGTGAGAAGAGGGCACACCTCCGTCAGTACTGTGTTTAATTCCGTTGAGCCCTTCCTTAACTGCACCCATCCGTGTACACCGATTCTCAGATTCCTTCTGTTCCCCTGCACGATACCCAGACCAGCTCCAGATCCCAAACTAAGCTAAAATGCCCTACCCCCTACCTCACGATAGTGTGCCTGAGGGGCGAGCTCAGTCTGCTGACTGGATACTGACAAAATATATACTAGTAAAGTACCAAAGAGAGGTGGCTCTCTTACAAAAGACGGCAGCACGAAGTATAGTATGAAAAGTGTATACTCTTGATACTCTTTGTATAAGAAGGCACAAGTTACTGAAACAAAACAGCTTTCGAGAAGTCACTGTAGTTTCATCCACCGTTGGGGTAGGTCGAATTATACTTGGTCTTAAGACTTATGCATTACATAGGTATCACCTAACTAATGGGAAGAATTCCTTGAAAATAGCTTGCTCCACGAGAGGGCGATGTAGCATCAAATACTAAGCTACTTAACCCTGACATAAATTGTAGTTCAGCTCTTGAAGCAGTGTATTTCTTGGTGTCCGCAGTCTGCTCTCAGTTATTAACTATGATCTTACTATTTTTTATTAGGTTAACTTATTAACTTTCTAACTGGAGAGTGTGCAAATAGATAAAACAACTACATCTGAAGTATTTTGAATACTTTGAATAGAATATTGTAGAAATTTGAGGAGAAACCGTAGTTGCATTTAATTGTCTTGGTGAATTTTTAGGTGATGGTAAACCTTGTTCTGCTTGTATCTATGCATGTTTTGTTTTATTTTCATTCTCTGTCCCTTCATGTTCTTTGTATTACAGTTTTTTTCTTTTATGGAGAGCTTGATGGAGTTTGAACAGCAGGTTTTTTTCTATGAGGAAAACGACAGATTTGTGTTCTGTGGGAAGAAATTTGAGAATTAGGATTTTTTTTTTCTCTTTGCTCATACGGAAATCTGAAAAGATTGAATTCATTTGTGTGGGCCTCTTCCATTTAAAAATTGCTGTAGTTCTTATGTGCGTTACAGGAATGTCTTAAATAATTGTATAATGTCATTCATTTTTGGTGTTATACAAAATTAAATTGGCCTTGGTTTCATTTATTACTCACTCTTGTAATGATGATGCAATAGTTTTGTAGTCAAGTTTGTTTTGATTGGCCATGCTTATGTTTTAGACTGTTTCACAGGGTCACAAAAGAGAGAGGGCAGCTACTTTAGAGGCCTTAAAGACCCTGGAAGGCTGTTACTTGCTTTCATCTCTTGCTAAGTGATTAGAATGGGTGGGATGAAAGAGTAGTTTGGCTGTAGAGGGAAAATTACACAATTTGAAGCATAACAAATATGTTTAGATCTGGCTTTTTGATCTCGGGTGTCCTAATTCGTTATTTATGTCTTCACCATGTATACTGTTATCAGTTTATTTCTAGTTTGAATTTTTTGGCCATACTTATTTCTAGATAGAGCTAAGTGACTCTTTTTTAATGGCAACACAATGAACAGTATGAGATTGGAAATTTAATTAAGGAGTGAATGGGTTGACTGAATGCTTTACATGTTACTGAAAAGTGAAGTGTATAAGGAACTTTGAAACACTTCCTGATTCTTAAGCATAAATTTAAGTTATCATTTTTAAAAAGAAAAGTTGTAAGAAATATTGGAATAGTTTTGTGTTGTTCAAATTGCATGATATCATTCATTGTTACTTATCAGTTCCAAAAGCCATGTTGCTTTTTAAACTGTATTTGCGGTCTTAATCTAAATGCTGGAAATAAACTGACTTTTAAGAAAGTTTCAATGTAACAGTACTAGACAGTTTGTCTAATAAAAAGAAAAAAACCAAAAACAAAACCAAAAACCCAACACCAGACACTACAGTGTGTTTGGAGTGGATGACACAAGATTTATGTTTGACTCCAACTAATGCAAAAATAACGTTATACTCTGTGACAAAACCACTATTTTGGTCCACACTTCTGCAATTATGTATTTTGAGACAAAATCACCAGTTAAATATTTGTTAATGTAGCTGGACGTCAGTTTTCTTAACAAATATGTTCCTTTTACTTTTAAGCAACATGATTTAGTGGAAATTATCTTTTGAAAGTTGGTGCCACGATTTAGTAGAAGTTGAGTTTTAAAGATATAATTTCAAGTCATTTTCTCTAACGTCTTTCCCTCCATGTCTTTTTGTATGCCCCAGGTGCATAAATGCCAAACAATTGCATGAACGTCCGGCATGAAATGTTAACATTGTCTTTTCCCCTCTCTTTCTGCTGTTCATTTTCATCCATTTATTTTTTGTTTACCATCACTTTCTTTTCTTAATACTTCATGTTAAATTAATTTGGAAACATCCTAAGCTGTGCAACCTCTCCGAGTAGTAACAGCGGATACCTGTCTGTTTCACTATCTAGTCCCTCCTCCTACCTCTCCGTCTTCCAAATCTGTGAGTACGCCAAGTGAGACTGGAAGCCAGGACTCCGGTGATGGCGCTGTTGGATCTAGGTACGTCACTTTCTTTGATGTGTTCGTTTATTTAATGCTTGTTATTTTGAATAGTAGAAACTTTGTAAGAAATTAAGGTTAATGACTTGAATATAAGGTTACAATGGTATTGAATCTGTAAACAGTGCCTGTTTTACCCAAGTTTTTTGCTTTAAAATTTGAAATACAGCTATATTTACTGATTTGAAATTGTTGACATTAACTCCAAGTTGTTTAAACTTGCAAGTTTGAAGTAAAATGAGTCTGAATGCCTTGTGGTAATATTCTTGTAAACGTGAATGTATAAGGACGGTAGAACAACTGGAAAAGTCAAACTTTTGGGCTCTTTCCAGCTTTTTAAAGAGTGTTATCATAAGCTATTTTCTTTTTCCAGCTGTTCTAGTAAAAGATGTTGTCTACAAACCTTGTCTTGCTTCTGAATTTTTTCATATTCAAAACAATATTGCTTGAGTTGTTTTACCTTGTAGCTATTTTATCCTCTGACACAAAACTGTGCCATTCACAATTTCCCTCTTTTGGCCAAAGCATAGCACCATGTTAGTACAGCTGCATTTTTTTTCAGCTCCAGTACTTGCTACATTCTTTTGAGTTGGTTTTTTTTTTTTTATTGGCATGACAGTTTGAGAAATACAGCTTTAAAGACAATCAAATATTTCTGTTAAACGAGGAATTCAAAGTGGGGACTTATGGGTAATGAGATGAGAAACAGTACCTCCAAAGGGAGTTTCCACTGTTTGTCATATCCCGTCCCCAGTCTGTAAACAAGAACAATATTTGCCTGTTAATATTGATAAATTATGTTTTCACAGCAAATAATTGCTCACATACTTTAAATTTACTGTGTATATTTCATGAATGAAGTCTAGTTAAAGCACAGATGTCCTCAGTTACTTTTGTGCCTATGAGTCTTTGTTTTGGAGAAAGAGTGAATACTTACACTACTTTCACACATCTTTAAAAAAGACTATAGTAATATCTTGTATGCATATGCATGCATAACCACACAATCTTAATCTAAAATTATTCAAAATTTTAATGATTTAAACAAAAGTTATTAGTTGTTTATTTCCAAGTAGCAACTGCTAAGTTAAAACAAGGGTAAGAACAGGCAACAGATACGCACACAAACTTTTTGGTAGCGCATATGTGCTATCTGGAGGATGTGGTTTGTTCACTGTGCAACTGAAATTCACTTGTCATGTAACCAAAGAACCAATATCATTGCTCTTTAATCTAGTAAAAGCAAATTTTAAGTAGTAATCTCAAATGTCAATTAATTTATTGAACTGTCATTTTATATTTAAATTCGCTGCCTAGAAGAAAAAGAATTGTTTGATAAATAAATTATTCTTTTCATGCATAACATAAATTCAATATGGTAAACAATATGTGTCGGTCACATACCTATGTAGTCGGACTCCACATTCATGTTGTATACTGAATTTATCTCCACCTCATGAGCGTTCTGTGTTCTCTGATTTTATGTTCCACGTATGTAGTAACGTAACGCTGTTTTGTGCCTACTTTTTTTATGACAACTTGAGAAAGCTTATATTCTAAACCTGTGTAGCTTCAGCCATTTGCAAAACTTAAAACTAAATGTAGGTCTTAAACACTTCTGTGTCTTGGAAATTGTATAAAAAAAAAAAAAAAAAAGCTGCTGCCCTGGAAATATGGAGCAGAGGTATAACTGTATAGCTAGATTTAAGGCAATATATTGTTGCTGTTAGAGAGACTCCCCTTTTTTTCTTTTTTTCCTCTAACCACTGGATAATGTTGTTCCCCTCTGCTGGTAAATGGATGTGTATATCCTACTATATTAGTAAAAATGTATACAGCATGCTTAACGTACACATCCATTTGAACCTGAAAAGCCATAGGAAAAGTTGGACTGTATGATAATTCCCGAACATTATACCTGGAGTTCACAGATGACTTCTGTGTCAGTATGAGATATGTTAGCAAGTTCAAGTTGTTCCAATATTCTTGAAAGGCTTAACACGAGCCTTTTTATATCAGTGTATTATTTCAGTTCTTTGATGTGTTGTCACTCCACGGTTCTCTGTTCAGGCTGGAACTGTGCTTTACAAAGATGACCTCCTTTGTTACTTTAGTCTTTTTTGCTCTATGGTGCTGAATCTTCCTAGTAACTTTACTTACTTAGTGATTAGTAAAACATTGTTCAGACTTTGTTCCTGCTGCTACTTACATCTCTCTTGTTTTATTTTCATCAGTAAACAGTTTTGTCTTCCAGTTTGTTACTGTTCCTTTGCATTCTTTCTGTTCCTTCTCTCTTTTCCTCAGTTAAGACTAAGAGTTCAAGACTGAAGATTAACATAGTTGGTTTATGTTTACGTTAGGTGGATGCTTCAAAGATTTAATTCAAATGCATGAAGTAGTACTTAGAGATATGTGAAGCATTAGGAGTAAGCCTGGATGCGTAGAAGTTCAGACATACATGGAAGAATCCGTTCTATTCTATTCACTGAAGCTTATAGCTAAATCAGTACAACTTAAGGCATAATAAATTTCTGGAAAACAAAAGAGTAGTATTTCATGTCATTGTGGTACAAATAAAAGATGAATTTCATTTCAGAATGTTGCCTTTATTTTAAAGGAAAATTTGGGAGAAAGATTAACAGTAACTCCTATACTGTACGTTGACTTTAACTATTTTAAAAGGCAGACTGTCCCTAGTACCATTGAAGAAAATGCTGAAAGTTAAAAGAATGCTTTGAAAGCAGGAGAGCAACCTCAGGATGATCTAGGTCTTATACTAGGCACAAAAGTAGGAGTCTTTAATTTATAGCCCTCCCAAGTGTGTTTGAAAACACTGGCAAAGTGTTTGACAAGTGTTGTGGTAACGTAACATGGGACTAGCTGAAGATGAGAAATCTTCCTCTGCAGAAGCAGTCTGAAGGTTTTTGTTAGAGGGGTTGTTTTTGGTTTTTGTTCTCTTTTTTTATATATAACAATACTGAATCTCAGTACAAGCAATATCCAACCTGAAGTCTCAGGCACCAGTTTAAACTCCAAACTTAGGTTTACTTGTCCGAGAAAAATAGCAGAAACCTAAAAAATAAGTTTGCTCAAAATAATTAAGTTTATGACAAGCCGGTCTATTTCCTAGCAGATAAAAGGTATGGCGAGTTTGGGGATTTGGGTGTTAAATTGTTGCTGAGGATGCAGTGGTTCTGTAATTCTTAATTAAGCTATAATCAATTACTCTCTGACACACTCTCTACAAGAACAAGATAATGCATGATACACCAGTACCTGTGAGTTTTTATGGCATTGCCTCTAAACTTTTGAGATCAGCCTTACCTTTAGGAATTCTGCACTTGCTTTAAAAGAACATTACCATTCTTAAAATGGTAGAGGGAATATATGTCTTTTATTGACTTACAGTACAATATTACATTTTCTTTATTTTTCAATTTGTTAAAGAACACGATTTAAAAAATACAGTAGCATGTAGAAACATAAGAAAAAAATATATGTTTGCTTGTTGATGTTTCCTATATGCCTGTTTTAAGCATAAAAAACTGTTTTAAAACTCTGCCTAAGTGTCATAGTAGGCAGTAGCACTAAAGGAAGCTTTGTGGCGAAGGCTAAGAATGAAGAGAGAGAGAGAGAGATGAAATTTAGGCCCCACTTCATATTTCTTTTGATATAAAAGTGACTTGCAGGGGGTGCATTCTGTTTGTTATTCCAATGAGATATCCAGAGTACTTTGAAATGTGCTATTAATATAAAGCCCACTATATCTAGGAGATTTAAATACCTTAAACAGAGTTGTCGCTAAATCAGATGACACTTACAAGCCCAAGGCAGTGCTTAACCCGTAATTACTGAAATGTCACATCTTGGAAACTCTAGCAGTTCCCTATCCCAATGGAAATGCATTTTTGCCTCTCTACCAAAAGGTTTATGTGTTGACTCATTTCCTTTACCAATATGACAATTTCCTCCACATATTTAATGCTCTGGGCAAAACTGCATTATGTTAACAAATCTGTCTTCATGTGACATGACCAAATCTGTACTGACTTAAAAGAGAGTTTGAAGTCTGTAATAGTTCCTGTCAGTAATGACAATATTTTTATTTGCCTCTCATAAAGGGTACATTTGTTTGCGGATCTTTAACTTTCAGTCTTTAAAATAATTTAATTCTCTTCTAATAGCTTGGAACTCTGTATTTGCTTTTTAACTTTTGTATTTACTGCATGTATTATTGCACTGAAGTTTTGGTGAATTTCACTTAAGTTACGTTGCTTCTTTTCTTGTGAAGAATAAAATAACTGTAAGCTTACTATAACTCTAGCATTTCATAGTGTATATTTGCTTCACTAATCTCTGGCCTTTTTTGCTAATGCTGCATGGTTGTTCAACTTGTGGTATCAGGACGCTGCATTGGGATACTGATCCATCAGTTCTTCAGCTTCACTCTGATTCCGATCTGGGGTATTGCATAGATTTATTATATTCCCTCTTTAATGTATTTATGAATAATGAGTATTAGAGCTTTTTTTTTTTTTTTTAAAGACTTCAAGTAATTGTTAAGAGAATATTCTGTGAATAATGAAAGTTCAGTGTCCCAAGACTTAGTGTTGTTGGTTCATAATAGGAAATTTTGATCTTGTGACATGTATGTAAAGGTGCCTATTTCTAATAACAAAATTCATTGGTTAATATTTTTCTTTGAATCTTTCTTTGGCAAGATAAACTTTAAAAATCACTTCTTTAAAATAAAAAGCTTAGAATAACTCTATTCAAACCAGACAGAATGACTCCCATCTTTTCATATAACATCTGCATTAATATGTCAAGTATGCTTATAAAAACTGTAGCTCTTTATAAGTGCTTGCTAAAACTGATAACGTGCTATGAGAGTTATGATTCAGCCCACCAAAAACTTTAGAAAAGAGTTTTTCCTTTTTCTTTCCTTTTATATTAGGAGAGGAGTGGATAATGAGAAACTAAATTTTATGCAGATAAATTGTTTTTAATTGTTGGATCATTGTAATATTGACTACAATACCTACTGAAATTGCCTTTTATAGGAAGTCACAGTGACTGAGGTGGGTCTGATTAGTATGATGTGCCGTTAGGTGATACGGGCTGCATCTGCATTTATAAGATCATATCTCATAAGCTAAAGGGAGAACGAAAGCGTTGAGGTTTTCAGTATCATATATTCTGGAGTAGTGTGTTATGGATAACTGACTTGTCAATGTGTGGACTTCAGATCAGATTTGCAGTAGTGCGTTCTAAATAGCATCTTAGAGGTAGATGAAAAGATGGGCAGCACAGTTAAATGGAGTAGGAAATGCTTTTTCGTTCAGGATAATTAAGCCTTTTTTCAAATTTGAAATCCTAGAACCGTAACCTTGCAAACATGACTTGGGGGGGCAGGTCTCTTCCACTGAAAATAGGGTATTTCATATACGCAGTAGTACCCTGGTCAACAGCAAAAGAGCAAAACTTTAAAATGCTAACTTATATTCCAGATATCTGTATATGTTTGCACGTCTTTCTTCTTGTCTTAAATGTATAAATAGCTACTGACCTTGAATAGTAATAGTAATAAAATAAGTCTTGTGACTTCTTTAGGGGTTAGTTTCTATTAGATTTAAGTTTGACTAGGCTATGTTGTTTGACATGATGGCTATGAATTATTTCATATTCTGCCTAGAACAATATCCAGAAGTTAAATATTTTTTCTGACGTTTGTATTCATTTTATTTAGACGTGGGCCTGTTAAACTTGGAATGGCCAAAATTACCCAAGTTGACTTTCCTCCTCGAGAAATTGTTACGTATACAAAGGAGACGCAAACACCTGTTATGACTCAACCAAAGGAAGGTGAATGATTAATTTACTATTGAAGTTCTTTTTTTCCGATTATAATAATGACTGCATGAGTTGGAACCAACACTTCATGGTTTTGAAATTTAATAAGATAGAATGAAGGTTGATTTGTGAGATAATTGATATAAATTCTATTATTAAGTTCATATATGTTTTGCTTAAGAATGTTATTGTCATTCTGCGTTTTGTTTAACGTTGCTCTTAGTAATACTTGTATTTTCTCACCCCTAGTAAACATGCAGGTTAGACACATTGAGTCGCTTAAGGAGCTGAAAGCTCACAAATAAGTGGGATATATTTTGCCTTTACAGTACTTAAGAAAACCCATACAACTTGCTTGAAGGTTGTGTATCCATAGGCAGTTGTGGCAGTAAACAACAAAGTTGGCTAATGAAAAAATGCCACTTCTTAATGACTTCTATTTTTATGCATTGAGTTTTAAAAGTAAGATGATGTTCCCTTGCTGGACCGTGGCCTTTCTGTTCTCGGCAATTGAGCATATGCATTGTTTCAGGCATGACTTGGTGGCTTTTGAAGAAAGGTATCTTTCCAAAGAAAATGCAGTTGGTTAGTAAATTTGCTTTTCAATACTGAAGGACTTGAATTTGATTGCAAATGTTAATCCTGGCCTCGTTTGCATATAGTTAAACAACAGAATCTCTTAGTTGGTTATTATGACTGCCTTTGAGCATGTGTGTCTTTGCTAGCAATTTTAGGACACGGTTCTAACCATAAGTTTGCACTTTTTTTTTTCTTTTCCATGTGTGAATTCCTTGGAGCTTATTCAAGGAGATAAAAACACATCTTAAGACGCGACAGGAATACGTTGAACTTAAATATTGGGATGATATTTCCACAAACTTAGGTTTTTCAGGATTTACCTGAAAATGGTTGATGTTGAGTTGTTGTTTTAATTTGCATCAGTGTGTTGCTTTTGTTGAATGGCTAGAGTGTGTGTTGAAGCCACTTTGGCAAGTTTTTAACTAGATGCGGATGAAACTGTGAATAGGTTTAGGTGGAGGTAAAAGACGAGGCAAAACTAAGGAAATTTATAGCAGCAGTTACTGCCAGGTTGATAAGTTTGTTTTTTTTTTTTTTCTCTCTCTCTTTTTATCTCTGGATATCCGGTGTAAGGAGTTAGCGTGTGTTCAGAATAGAAACCACGTGATCTTTCAAACTTTCCTTACTCAGCAAGCCAGAGGATATGCCTTTTCTCTTTTTATTGTTTTTACGCAATTACATACTGCGTTTCAGGTTAGATGCTCTTTTTTACTTTTTACGAGCTGGAATGCATGTTACTATATTTTATTGCATGAATTATACACTTGACCTACGTGCAAGCTTTCTTTTTTCCTCCCTTCAATGGTTTATATTTGCAGTTCTTTAGCAGTTTAGCTTTGTTCTTGTGTGTTGACTGCAATTTGAAGCATCAGCCAGTGAGCTGTCATTTTGCTGGTTTGTCAAGCACCTCTGCCAATGTAAGTCACCTCAGTCAGCAGTCATGTACATTTTCCTTCAAAAACTTGACATTTCTGGGGAAGAATACGTTTTATTATCTGGGGAATCTTGACAGTGCTTTTTTTCTGAAGCAACAATGAAGTAACAAGTGTTGCTGTTAGATGTGGTATAGCCTGGGCTGCCAGTAACTTGCTCTTTCTTTCACTGATCCTGATAGGAGTTCTGTGTAGCTAAGTGGTTGTTTTTTGTTTTCTTAAAATGTTTTGGCAAGAGAACAGCTTTTACTTAAAAAAACAAACTTACTGTAGTAGTTGCCAAAAGCAGAGTTTATGGGGTGTTTTTTGAGGCATGCAGAGGCTGTTTAGCGAGGTATTTCTCTCTAATGAAGTGTTGTTGCAAACTTGGAATAGGGTGAATAGGAGTAAGTAGAAAGTAATAAAATTACCTTACTGTGTCATTACTTATTCTATATAAATGTTATTGTAAATAGTTCTAGATATAGTCTAAATAGTTATATCTGTCACAGCTTGTGTTTTAGGTTTAGGTTGAATCAGTTCCACTTTTTTGAAATTAGTTGAAGTTAATCTCTTAAGTTTTTAGGGCAGATAATGTGGTTGAAATCTAGCTATTTAAAGTTGAATTTAAAACAGTTTCAGAGGCCATAGCTATTCCTAAATTTCCCTGACTCTTTTACAGGTTTTCCTGTCTTCTTTTCCACATGATTTTTCTCTTCCTTATTGTTTCCATATTTTAAAAAACAAAACAAAACCTTTTTACTGCTTACTTTGTATGTCATTTCTTAAATTATTTTGTCATATTAATCTTTATATTATATCAAAATAAACAAGTAAATGCGGACATGAAAGCATTTTAGCTAACAGTATCCTTCTAAAGTATACTGAGAAAGGAAATAACTTGTAAAATGACGTGTCCCGTGGGACTTACTGCGAATGAATCTTAACTAGTGGCAAATACTATTTCTTGATGAGTGGGCATCCTACAATCAGGCACAGGGATTTTTAGCTGCTTAATTTCATTTTTTTTTTTTTTTTTTTTAAAATACTTGGCCTTCATTTAGCAGGAAGGAGAAAACAAACGTATTGGTCATAAACGTATTGGGGAATAAAATGACCCTTTAGTTCTACCATAATAAATTTAGTAGCTTACCTCTGAGCTAACCGTACTAACACACAATTCAAAATCCAAATAGGCCACTAAAACTGTTTTTCTTTTTCCATTCTTTATTTTCTTTGCGTCCCTTCATACATAGGTGTTTTGGGGTTTTCTGCTTTATTCTCCCTTGCTTTCCCCTTTCCTTTCTGTAATCCCTCAGGGGTTTTTCTTCCCTCTTGCAGCTTCATCATGGAATCTGGAAACTTAGTACATAATTTCTGTGCTTGGAGAGTTTTGCTTATCCTGCCTGCTGCGAGTGGAAATTGTCTGGGATTGATGGTCGTAGTTTTGCGCTCTGTGGATAGGCTATAGTTGAGACTTAACTGTAGTGGAGCTGAAAAAATGGATTGTCCACGTTTCTGAGAAGGTGCTCTCAATGCAGATGTCATCTCCTGATCCATTCCACCTGAAAATAATGTTCTTTTCTCTCTGCTTGAGAGCCATCAACATTAATATTATGTATATGTTTCACAAAAGTGATTTAGAATTGATACTTTTTCATAATTTCAGTGTCAAGTTTTTTTTAAGGTCCATCTTAGGACTGCCTAAATACATTCATATGTTTGCAGTTTAATATGTGATCTGAAATAGGATACAGGTTAAAAAAAAAAAAATCATGCTGCCCCAAAAGTTTGCGTCACCAGATGAGAAGTTTTGATTACGAGAAGAAAAATTTGAAGTTTTTAAAAATATTAGCCAAAAGTGATTTTTCTAAGTTGTCAGAATGCAATTATATATGTTGTAAAATAAAATTAGAGGTGCTTCAAAATACCTCGTTGATTCCTGTTTGTTCTCGCAATCTGAGTATTAATTGTTTCCGTTTTAGTTAACTTCCCTGTAAAGTCAAGGTAATCCTACAAAGTACGCTTGAAACTTGAGCTTGCAACCTGAATTTACACAAAAAAGGCTTATTTTTCAGTAGCTTATATACCTGCAATTTGTAGCTTGGCTAGGTTAGCTCCACTGTTCACACCTTTTTTTTTTCTTTTTTTTTTTTTTTAATAAAGTGGACTGGACAAAGCCTTTCTTAATTATGCTACCTTGCGATGTTAAAATGCTGTTGGAGCTATGCTTTTGAACAAAGGAAAATTGAGACAGTTTTATTAGGCTGCACAGTTTCACAGGTGCTTGGCGTTGGCAGAATGTTATCAAACCTGTGCAAGTCCAAATGCGGCACACTCGCTCTGCAGCTTTAGGTCTGCTTGTTCTGTAAGCCAAATTGTGCTAACCCTGATGCTGAAAAAAACCCAGTTGTCTTTATTCTGCCTCTGTGTGATACAAGTGCTTATGTAGTTATATTGTGACATGAACTGGGAAACAAATTCAAGATAAAACTAATCTTTTTGGGAGTAGAGCTAGGAGGCAGGGGAAGTTCAGTTTGAAACGAAAATAGTTTCCTAATTGCTGTAGAAATCTTTATGGTAATATAAATGAGGTGACAGTTATGTGGTGGAGATTCACGTCCTAAACTTAAAGTTAGCTTTTCAAAATGCCCCTTTTGGAGTAACTATAACAAGCAGTTAAATTTAAATACTGAGTGCCTTTTACCTGAAGAGTTCTGATTTTAAGATGTGAAGGTTGCTCATCTCAGGAGTTAACAAAAGGGCTGCGTTTGGTTGTGTAGAATCTAGACCAGGAAAATTCTATTCGCTTCTAGTGAGAGAAGGTAGGTGGATTAAGTTCAGACGGTCAAGTGTGTTGCACTAGCGTAGACAATACCAAATATGAAGCAGCTCCCCCATTTCAGTGAAGACAAGAGGCTCCTCAGGTGCAACGGCTTTGAGCTAGTGATCATCTCCATTCGACGTGAAAGAATGACCAGTTTGCTTGCAGACCTAAATGCTGGAGTTAAGAGTACTTCAGTGTTGTTGGCACCATCAGCTGCCTCCTGCTAAGACCAAAAAGCACTATCGCAAGTATTACAACTTTTTCCACAGTTCTTCCTTTTTTTCCCCTTGAAAGACTTGTATCCGTAATACCAGATGGCCTTATCTTTCTCTTATGCAATGCCCAGCTCCTGACTTTGAAAAGTGACACCACCATGTAGCTGTAGGCATTTAGCGTGCTAACAGTTCTCACAACTTCCATTATTTTGTTTAAGTGCTAATATGTTGCTTTATTATGACCTCAAAGTGTTTTAAAAAATGTTTGTCTTGCTGAGACTGAGTCTTTTATAACGTCGTAGAAGAATAAAATCGAGATCTCTCCTAGAAATCAATTTCATTTTGTGATTAGAGATTGAGTCCTCTTTAGAGCAATAAATATTTTGTCACAGGAAGTCATTCAGTGTATTCTTAATAGTACAGAAGACTAAATTTCCCCAAACCGAAGTTAAGAAACGTATTTCATGGTTCTTGTAGGAG